CACACACACACACATATATATATATATATATATATATATATATAACACACACACACATATATATATATATATATATATATATATGTATATATATATATATGTATATATATATATACTATAACTTATATATATATAAGTGTGTATATATGTTATCGCTCGTTTCAATACCACTCACTTTGAATTGGTATTTATAGTACTCCCTTCTATCGCATCCAACATCCCACACGCGGGTGTCTCGATGTTTAGCTCCTTTCTCCCATCTTCTAGTTGTATATGCCTGTTTCATCACCAATTGAATTTACCCCCCCCGTCCACGTAAATTCTTCATCACGATTTTGTTGCTTTGTCTTGATACGCAAATCTGTATTCGAGGTTGTCTGCCTCCACTTCTACTACTAGTTTGTACCACCACTAATTGATGATTGTTGACCTATGTCTCGCTTTTAATGCCGCAACAAAACACATCTTTGCCGATATCTGCCATCTTGACTTCAGAGATAAACATCGGGGCAAGACACAGAACACGGAATCGCCGTTCAACAGTCTGGGCCATTCCTTAGACCCCGAGGGACGGGCGATCACTTTCACCAAGTTTAAGGAAGACAACAACTTTGAGTTGTCGAAGTTCAAAAGTTGGCTTGAGCACGAGTATAGCATCGAGTATTACTTAGCGTGGAAGGTAAGAGATTTTTCTGTTGTTGCATTGGTTTCTGGCCCAATTTTGAGTCACGACTGCTGTTGCTTGGCCTTCTCTGCAATGTGTGAATGTTTGGTTGTTCTGGCCCCATTTATTTAGCGGCAATCTCTTTGTTTGATTTGAGGAAGCACACGGGATTTATATCTGTTGAAGTTGTACTATGGAAGAGATTGTATTTCCAACAACTCGTGCCTTGCGGTGGACTTAAGTACGATGTAGTACTTCAGGAAGACACTATCGCAATAAGTACATATTTATACATAATTTCTGGTATACTTACTTTCGATAATCTCACAGGAGATTGGTGATCTCATCAAACCAGGACAAGCTATAGAGGAAGAGAAAGGTATATCAATCGTCAGAAAATGTTCCACGTATAAGTCGTTGATCGATGAGAGATGTACCGTTCGCAGCGTGTCATCGTAACATTCTGCTGATTTTTCAGTAACTTTGTATATATATCTATATTATA